TGTGTATTAGATTTACAATGAAAACATATATCGTTTATTTTTCTTTCTCGGCATATAATTCATTTATAACAAAAGTTTAATTGCCATTATCTATGTTGGAGATATTAAGTTTTATTTTAGTGCTAATAGTTAAATTATTACTCCATAAAATCCAAAATATAAGAGTTAGTTATGAGTGTTTGTTTTGGCTTAAAATATAAGATTTGAACCCCTTTTGTTTTTTAAGTTTATAAGCTTTCCTAAACTATACATATTGATTGCATATATATGAACGGGGATTTTTATCAATGTAGTAATGAACAAAGGGAGTATTTCAAATAAACTAATACACATTTATTACAAATAACTAACTTAATTAATGTTATTAATATCAATAAATTAGTTATCTATATTTTATATATACAAACAAAGGAGTATATAATTGGTCATTTGGTATTAATCAGTTGGTTATGGCTCCTAGCTAGTCCATATAACGGGGTTTTTAGTCATTATACCACTGGCCTATGATTATGAAGGTTGACCTCACCTCATGGATCACTCCTTGAATGGTTTCTTATTCATTCTTCTTAGTATTGTGTATCGCCTTTTAAGGAATGATGGATATTTGTTTTTGTAATAAGCTTTAATTAGCATCATCTTTAATATGTCTCATTATATTCTAATCCATTATTCAACAATACAACTATCAAGTTTTCTGAGGTAATACCATTTAATCACATATGATTGGATCATGGGATTTTATATATTATTGTAGTATTAGAAAAACAGATAGAATGTAGTGAAGTCTATATGCCATATGGGGCATGTGCCAAACAGATTGAATTCTTCTAGTTTGCTTCGTGCTGTTTTTCTTAATGTATTTATTTATTTATACTCTCCCTAATCCTATTTATAAACTTTAAATTTTTAGAGTATGGTTTATTTTATAAGTTTTAATTTGTGTTTATCTAAACGTTTAATTTGTCTTTTTCAATTTTGCTTTTAGTTATTTATTTTGTCATACTCTTTTTTGTTTATTATTTATTATTTTTCACTTATCTTCTTTATAAATAAGAACATATTTTTTTTAAAAATATTACTTATCTGTTTCTTATTTTTAACAATTTTAATTGCTCTTTTATTATATACAGATTGATTATTTAAAGTTTATAATAAAAAATGAAAAAGTACCAACGAGAGTTTCGTCTAGTGAAAGAAGTTATTCTTTTATAACATGGCCAATCAAAGTTCGAATTTCTATTAGGAGAGTTGCCCGCTTTTAATACCCCATAGTGTCTTGAACAAAATTGCTTTTAATCCAATGATACCTATGCTTAGGGGGAAAAAGCCATAAAATCTTTTGTTAAATAAGAAACCAGAAAGTATTGTTAAATGTATATAAAATCATGAAAAATGATTAAAAAAAACCTGTTAAATTTCAAAATGATAAATAAGTAATTTTGATAGATTTTGACATGTAAAAATAATATTATTTTTTCATTAATTTAATTTGTAATTTGTAATTGTAGGATAACATGCATGAGCTCCTTTAGCAGCAATCCTTAGAGAGTGATGCTCGAATGACCTCTGATGAGATATTGACAGCTGTTCTTGGTGAGAGGTTAGGATATGTTAGAGGAAAAGGTTATGGAGCAGAGCCTTGAAGGAAGAGACTTCACACTCAATCTAGTGATTCACTTGAGAATGTGTGCACCCAATTGTATGAAGAGTTTGAAAGAAGATTTTAGGAGGAGCGGGAAAAGATGGAAGCAAATCTTGCTGCAGAGCGAGAGAAGATGGAAGCAGAACATGCAACAGAGTGAGAGATGATGGAAGCAGAACGTGCAGCAGAACGAGCAAAGATGGAAGCAGAGCATACACAACTTGAACAAAGGATGTAGCAATTGATGGAACAGAGAATACAAGCTCAGTTCACTGCTTTCATGCAAAAGATGCAATTAAATACTCCTGCAGATACTCCTACTTCTAGCATCCCTAGTATTGGTTCCTCTACGTAATTTTCCTTTTGCATTATATAATGTACCCTTTAATTGACCAATTTTTTTTTTGGTTAAAGACATAAAAACACTTTGATGGCTATAAATCTTATTATTTATTATATTATTTTGTTAGTTAATTATTTTATTTTTATTAAACCTTATGATAATATTTATCAAGAATATAAATAAAAATTTTTGTATAATTAATATATTATAAAAATAATTACACCTTCAGATGTCGTCGCAAAAAGAGGTAATCAGTGGCGACATCATTGTCGCCACTGAAAATACAATCAGCAGTGACACATTTGTTGCCGCTGATTACCATTTTCAGCAGGGACACTTTTATTGCCACTGATTGAGGTTTCAGCAGTGACAAATGTGTCGCCGCTGATTACCATTTTTCAGTGGCAACACTTTTGTTGCCGCTGATTGCTCTTTTTAGCAGTGACATTTTTGTCGCCCCTAAAGCAAGCTTTAGCGGTGACATTAGTCACCGTCGATTCTTATGTTTTAGTGGCGACATTTCCTGGCAACAAACTCATCACCTTTCAGCGGCAACTTTTTTATGTTGTCGCTGATAAGTTTCAACTACGGCCGCTACGGCAACAACCTGGTGGCGACAAAATGTTGCCACTAAAACTTTTCAGCGGTGACTTTTGGACTTTCAGCAGCAACATTTCTCCCCACTGAAAGTCAAATTTTTTGTAGTGAATTACAAGAGTAGTTAAAACTATTATAAGAGTATCAGCACTAATTTATTTTATCTTATTTTTTGTTATTTTCTCAAAATCATATTTGGGCTCGTTCGATGTGCTCTTTCTTTTTGTGCCTAGTGCCTGCCTACTCGTGCTTGGAGTTTGCTTTCTCTGAGATCCCATTTGATAGAAAGCATTAAAAATTAAGAATAAAGATTGAGATTAGAATTGAGAAAATCTATTAAAAGAGTGTTTAGCATAATGGATTGCTTGTTATATAAGATTAGCCAAACTCATATATATAGGATTAGAGAATACCGTGGGGGAAGTGGTATTTCCCAATCTCACTTCTATGGGTTTGCCTAATCCCATATAACAAGTAATTACTCAAACTAAATATTATTTTAATGATTTTTTCCAATTACAATATCAGTCCATACCCCTCATTTTCAATATTTCATACCAAATGAGACCTGAGTTTTCACTGTTCATTGGGTCCTGTGTGTGTTTGGTGTTTTCTATATGTACTGTGTACTGTGTAATGTGTGCATTATGGCCCAATTTGGTCTAGTCTTTTAGTGCAACCTAAATTTCCTTATGTAATCTTTTTATCTTTTACTTTTAATAATATTAATTGTAGATTCCACCTTTTTCCCCTTTTATATCCAAAGCAGAGCACTAGGCCTAAAACCTAATTTTGTCTTTGCATGGAAGCTATAATTTCAAACATCGAAATATCTCAACGACAAGGGAACTATTTAGAATCACATTTATATCTACTTATAAGTATGTTTTATGTAAGTCGAAATAAAATTTCTCTCGTATGCTTAACTTATATTTCATAAATTATGATTAAAAATCTATTTATAAACCATTCCAAACTGACCCAAACCCAATCACACCACACGATGAGGACATTATATTTGTGCAAATTTACATTGTGAAATGATATAATAATATATAATTATAAAAAAAATCTTGTTTAATTAAACCTTGATAGGTCAATGGCATCTATAAATATACGCTAAAACATTAAATAAAGGAGAAATCTCTGTCATTCTAGACCTTTGAGATCGCTGCCTTACCAATAGCTAAATAAAAAACGAGAGATCATAAAGCCTATCTCTCTGAGAATTCACACCTCAATTACTGAGTACAAAAAAGCATAACCTGACATTAACATTCTTTCAATACATATGCAACCATGGAGATACAGATCCCATATTCCATCATCTTCTTCACCTTCTTCTGCTTCTTCTTTGTAATTAACGAGCTATCTTCTTCCAAGAAACCCACCAAAAACCTACCTCCAGGGCCATGGAAATTTCCTCTCATCGGAAACCTCCATCAACTTGCTGGCTCACTACCTCATCGTTCTCTCACAAATCTTGCAAACAGGTATGGGCCCTTCATGCACCTTCAACTTGGACAGGTTTCTCATATCATAGTGTCTTCACCAGAATATGCCAAAGAAATAATGAAGACCCATGATCAGATCTTTCAAATAGGCCCAAAAATCTTGCTACTGATATCTTGACCTATAATAGCACGGACATCATCTTTTCCCCATATGGAAACTATTGGAGGCAACTTCGAAAGATTTGTAACTTAGAGCTTTTCTCAGCAAAAAAGGTTCAATCGTTTAGAAGGATTAGGGAAGAGGAGGTATCAGCACTGGTAAGAAACATCTCTGACCATGAAGGCTCTGTCATCAACCTCAGCCAAAAAATCTTAGAACTCACGAATTCCATAGTTGCTAGAATGGTCTTTGGAAAGAAGACAAAGAATGTAGAACAAATCCTACAAATTACAGAACAAGGACAAAAGGCAAGCTCTGGGTTATCCATTTCTGATTTCTATCCTTCGCTGAAATTTCTTAGTATCATCACTGGGATGAGAGCTCGAATTATAAAGCTGCACGATGGTGGAGATAAAGTGTTTAATGAAATCATCAAAGACCACAAAGAAAAGAAAATAAATAATGTTGGAGAGGCAGAGGAGGATCTAGTTGATGTTCTTCTCAGAATTCAAATGGATGATGACTTGGAGATCCCCTTATCTATCTCTAGACAACATTAAAGCTATTCTTAAAGTTAGTCTTTTATTATATTAAATGTTGCTCTTCTTTTTTTGGGTGAGCAATATTAAATGCTACATAGTTTGTAATTTGATACACAAAATATAACGCACATATGCACACATACGTTCCTCAAATCAATTGTGTGAATTCCTTCCTTTTCAGGATGTTTTCTTTGCTGGAACTGAAACAGAGGCAACTACAACAGATTGGGCAATGTCAGAATTGCTCAAAAAGCCAAAGGCTATGAAAGAGGCACAAGAAGAGGTATAACTAAAACTAGAGTTTTGAATGTTTTGTATAATAATTTTGTGGGTTGTGTTATTTATTTATATTAATTTATAAATATTATTGAGCTGACTTAAACATGAGAGTTATTATTAGCTTTGTAATAGGTAAGAAGAGTCTATGGAGACAGAGAATATGTAGATGAATCAGAACTACACCAATTAAAATATGTGAGTGCTGTCGTCAAAGAAACCTTAAGGCTCCATTTACCGGTGGCATTGTTGGTTCCAAGAGAGAATAGTGAGAGTTGTGAAATCAATGGATATGTGATACCTCCTAAGACAAAAATTATCATTAACGGTTGGGCCGTTGCAAGAGATCCCAAGAATTGGAATGATCCAGAGATGTTTGAACCAATGAGCTTTCTTGATACAATGGTTGATTACAACTTCAAAGGTTCACATTTTGAGTATATTCCATTTGGTGCTGAGAGAAGAATCTGTCCAGCGCCCACATTTGTTACGCCTGTTTTAGAGTTATTACTTTCCAATTTACTTTATCATTTTGATTGGAAGCTACCAAAGGGGATGAGGCTTGAGGAATTGGACATGGATGTCATTTGGTGCTGTGATAAGAAGGAAAAGTAATCTGAATTAGTTCCTATTCGCTATTACCCTTGAGTTTACGTGTTTGTTACTTGAATGATAGTTGGAAGTTTCAGATATCATTGATCTATGTTGTGGGAGCGAGGAATGAATAAAAAATCGTTTTGATTTGAACATTTATTTTGTGAAAAAGTATCAATTAAGTGCTTTTTTTCATCATTTATTCGTAAAAGAGAGAAGTACAATAAATCTTAAAAGACTCTCATTTATTTCTCATAAAAATCTCTCCTTCTGAGAGAGTATAATAGTGGCTTGTCAATTTTGTATTTTCGCATCGAATTTAACTCATAATTTCTAAGACAAGAATTTCCACTACAAACCAATATGAGTTAGACTATATGTTCTTTATCCCCAAAAGAATAAATAGGACTGGAAGGATATATATCTAGCATCATGATGACTTGACTTTTTTTAATTGAATCAATCGACTCTCTTTTATGGATGACAAATTCTGATCCTTATTCGTGTCTATTTTAATTGGATGACGCACTCGACTATTAATAATTTCATTATTAAACAGACAAATCGTTTGAGGAATTAATTAAGAATGGTAAAATGAAACAGGTGCCACATGCTTGCGGGGCTAAAGTGTCTGAAAGTAGCTTCCGTGCTTAATATAATAATTAGATAACTAATTTGAGCATATTAAAAAATTAGTTAAATTGATTATTTGTAATAAATGTATTTTGACTTCTCTAACTTATTATCTTTAATCATGTGTATTGGGACTACTCCTTGGTTGAAGCTTTTTACATTCAATAAGGATATGTTGAAAAAAATATAAATTTAAAAGATAAAATGGATTGAATCTTATATTTACGATCAAATTTAATCCCCACCTAGCTTTTATATTAAGGATTGGAGATAATATTTTAATTAATGAATCTGTCTGAAATATTTAGTTATAAACCTATTTTCTTCTATAACATCTTGTGAGTAATACTAGTTATCCAAAACTGTATATTAATTCATTGGAGTAATATATTGTTTTTCAAATGTTAGAATCGTCTCAATGTTAGTCTTTGACTAATAGATATTGATGTTCGTTGCTTACGTATTATTGATTTTGTATGAAAAAGTTTATCTTATCCCTAAAGTATTTAAATCAATAATTGGTATTTTTTTTTTACCGAAACTTATCCCTAAAGTATTTATATGAATAATTAATACTATAACTAAACTAGTTAAGATAGACACATGTATAGCACGTAACAACGACATTAATATAATTCATGGTTAGCGTGAGTTAGCAATTCTTTTTCTTTTTCTTACGACGAAGCATTTGTTGACAAACCAAATGAAATTCATTTTTTATATTTTTTAACTAAAACATGTGCATCACGTGCTAACGTTGGGTATTAGTGAAAGCTGACAGATCTCCTTATGACAAATGAGTTCCTAATTAATAAGTCAAGATATAAATATATATATATATATATGAATATGTGTGTGTGTGTGTGTGTGTATAACTTGTGACAATATTTCTAATTGATCGTTCATCTAGATTAATAGATTTTTTTATTATTAATGAATGCCTGATTGGCAAAACATGTGGCAGCTTAAATACGAAGCCACACATGTTTTGATTTTAAAAAATAGAGATACCATCTACATTATTAAACTTTTGTATGTGAGTTACTCTTTTATGATGTTATTTTCTACCTATAACTATCCTTCTATTAGTATAATCATATTAAAGGTATTGCACTAAATGTAAGCACCTTTTCAAGAATTCGAACATACTCTTTCATGAATATTTTAAGAGCAAATTAAAATGGTCTTTAACTCAAAGTTAATTCAGAGTTAATGATCGACGTCAATATTTTTGACCAAAAAAAAATGATCGACGTCAATATTCGTTGGTCAAAAAACACAATCCGAACGATTTTGATATTCGAGAGGTGATATTGCTATAATAAATACTTTAAAATAACCAGTGCTTCTCATAATACATTCTATAGTTCAAGGACAAAAACCTTTAACTTGAATTTTTATTTATATTTGGCTAAAGGATACATTTGTTCCTATAATTTTGTACAAGGTTTCAGTTTGGTCCCTTAACTTTAAAAAGTATACTTTTAGTTCTTTGACTTCAAATTTTTTTTTAAAAAAATGATGAAATATATATGAAATGTTGATAAAATATTCTCAAATGTTAACATATTAAGTTTAATTTTCAAAATATTCATGATTATTACAAAAAAATATCATTGAAGCCTAATGATTTTAGAGTTAAAAGACCAAATATAAGCTTTTAATTTTAAAGTTAAAGGACCAAATTGAAACCTTGTATAAAGTTAAAAGACTAAATATATACTTTAGTCTTTATATTTAAAAGGGACCTGCGTAATCACCAATGTCTACAATTACTTTGAACTTGTGGTTTATAATTTAGAAGCCACATAAAACGACAGATCAATTAATTTAAGCATTTTGATATAATTTTTTCACAGCCCGTGACAGCTTTTGATTACACTTACTATGGCAGCCACATTATTGACTAAGTGAGTGTTCAGTTTGGACAAAAAGCATTTAAAAAAAAAGCTTTTATAAAAGTCGAGATAAAATTTTTTTTACATATTTATACTACAAAAATCTGGACTTTCAGGAACCACTTTCAATGGTGACAAAGGAAGTCACCGCTGAAAATATGACTTTCAGCAGCGACAATTCTTGTTGCCGCTGAAAGTCGGGCCTTTCTACCGCGACAAGTGTGTCACCGCCAAAAGTGATAGTTATGGCGGCGACTTATTATTGTCGCTGCTGTAACTGCAACTTTCAGCCATAGCCGCTACGGCAACGACTTGGTGGCGACAAAATGTCGTCGTTGAAGCTTTTCAGTGGCGACATTTGTCACCGCTGAAAGTCGAAATTTTTGTAGTGAATTAATTATTTCTTATGCCATAAAATTATTTTTAAAACTGTGGTTTGATTTTCATCTAACACCCCATAAGTAATGAATAAGATAATTTAAAATTATCAACAAACTTTGTTTAAACTGCAGCTAGTCAATGGCGTGAAATTTGCGTCAAAACAAACATAAAGGAAAGAATCATAAAGCTGATCTTTATTTTACTTACAAATCACAATGCACGCTAACCGTAAAAGGATATAAAGACATTTGTGGAATTTCACATCGAAAAAATGGTATAATATAAAGTTATAGGTAAACCTTGCTGTAAAGCAAGCTATCAGTAACGTGAGATGTACGTTAAAACGAAAAAAAAAAAGGATAAATCATAAAATCTTACTATCTTCTTCAATCCTTAATATAAAATTTATTTGACTAATTTGAAAAAAATAAAAAATTTAAAAAAAATTACTTAATTGCTACCATATGTTAATATTTATAAGCTTAGCAAGTTAGTTTGAAAAAAATAAATATAATATTTTAAAGTAATTTATTTGATTTTTTTAATTTTTTAAAATTAATAAACTGGGTTTTATTTAAGATTGAAAGTAGTATAAATTATGACGAAGGAGGGGGGGAAAGGTGTTTTGTTATATAAAAGGCATTATTTCACAATGCAAAACCTAACACTTAGCTTTAATTAACAATTCTTTCAATATGGAGATACAGATCCCATATTCCATCATCTTCACCTTCTTTTGCTTCTTCTTTCTGATCTGCAAGCTGTCTTCTTCTTCCAAGAAACCGACCAAAACCCTACTTCCAGGGCCATGGAAATTACCTCTCATCGGAAACCTCCACCAACTTGCTAGCTCACTACCTCATCGTTCTCTCACAAATCTTGCAAACAAGTACGGGCCCTTCATGCATCTTCAACTTGGACAGGTTTCTCATATCATAGTGTCTTCACCAGAATATGCCAAAGAAATAATGAAGACACATGATCAGATCTTTGCAAATAGGCCCAAAAATCTTGCCAGTGATATCTTTTCTTACAATAGCACAGATATTGCCGTTTCCCCCTATGGAAACTACTGGAGGCAACTTCGAAAGATTTGTGTTTTGGAACTTTTCTCATCAAAGAGGGTTCAAGCTTTTAGAAGAATAAGGGAAGAAGAGGCATCGACGCTGGTGAGGAACATCTCTGAACATGAAGGTTCTGTCATGAACCTCAGTAAAAAAATGTTGGAACTCACGAATTATATAGTGGCAAGAGTGGCCCTTGGCAAAAAGACAAAGAATGTAGAACATGTCTTGCAAAATTTAGAGCAGGTGACAAAGTTAAGCTCTGCATTATCAATTTTCGATTTCTATCCTTCGCTGAAATTTATCAGTGTCATCACTGGGACGAGAGCTCGAATGATGAAGTTGCACAAAGATGGAGATAAAGTGTTCGATGACATCATCGGAGACCACGAAGAAAAGGAAAAAAATAATGTTGGAGAAGCAGAGCAGGATCTAGTTGATGTTCTCCTGAGGATTCAAAAGGATAATGACTTTGAGATACCGTTATCTCTTGAAAACATTAAAGCAGTTCTTAAGGTTAGTTTGTGAGCACTTTACCCATAAATGTTACTATTTCTAAAATAAAAACTAGTTAACTAATTTGAGTACATCAGAAAAACTAGTTGAGTTAATTATTTATAATAAATGTATGTTGTTTTTCCTAAATACCTTTACTAATCATGTGTCATTTGATGAAACATATAGTATTTGTAACTATTACAAGGATTAACTTGAGAAAAATATATAAACATGAGAGATAAAGTAAATTGTGATCTTATTTAGGACCAAATTAAAAGTCAAACCAACTTTTATATTAAAGACCGGAGGAAGTATACAATTTGTAATCTGATACCCAAAACTCTAATCAATTGTTTGAATTCCCTCTTTAGGATGTTTTTTTCGCTGGAACCGAAACAACAGCAACTACAATAAACTGGACCATGTCCGAATTGCTCAGAGACCCAGAGGCTATGAAAGAGGCACAAACGGAGGTATAGGCACAACAAGAACTTTGAAAGTGTATCACAATTTTGCAAGTTGCGTATGTGCGTGTATGAATAGGGCT